ATTTTAAATTTCAGTTTTGAATTTAATTGTAATCGGATAGGGTAGAATTTGAATTTAATTGCAAGCCTATCACTTGCACGAAAAAATGAAATTTATGGTTGTAAACTGGCTTATTTAAGCCATGCAAATATAAATGAAAAATGCAAACCTTTTCCTCCATTGCCTTCTTCAAAAAACATCTAAGCACGAAACAAAGGCATTTGCAAGGTTGTACTATGTTTCGGTGCCCTCTCTCTCTCTTACTTTCTCTCTCTACAAAAGCCGAGTAAATAGCTTTTGCATATAGTAATTTTCTACGTCAACATACTACATAAATCATCTATGTTCGTACCTCTGAAAGAAATTGGGAAAGCAATGAAGGGAAAATAGAAGAGATCCAAAATTAACAAGTACTTTTCTTTATTACCAAATCCTCCAAAATTATTCAGAGAAAAAAATAGATTTTATTTTTTATTTTTTTACTAGATAAGTTTGATTAAAGATGAAATTTTAAGTTTCATTTAGAATTTCTTCTTTATAAACGTACTTATGATCAAGATGTGCCAAAATCTCCCCTCCTGGGAAAGCTACTCTAGTAGCCTCATATGCAGCCAGAATTGATTGTCTCCAAGCACCGCCAATATGTTTTCCAGTTGACTGGTTTGGTTCTTCCATTGGCAAGGAGTATCCAGAAAGTAGGTGGCCTACCCAAAGATCATCATATTTCCTGTAATCAACAGAGAAAGAAGAGGTTCAATTGAGCTATGAAGAAAATCTCTGTAATCAAAGCGCCCCATGATTCCATGAACTTATTATACTCAGTTATTATTTATTAACAAAACTAAAAGGAAAATATTAACATTTAACAAATGGTTAGATGTTACTAAAAGATTTAACAAACAAATTGCAGTACCACTTGACTAAAGTCATACATTCTGGAACTCTACAGTTGATAACTAAGGTAAAAGGAGACTTATGGATGGATAACTCACACAACGATATCCATGTGCCGAGGAGCATAATGTCCACCACCAATGCCAAGAAGGACTTTTTTCTTGTCATTCTCACTTGCATATAAATAAATAAATAAATAATCAGGTTATGCTAATACTCTAATGTGTATAATCATGGAAAAAGAATTAGTGTTATCCAGAGTAAAAGAATAAAACAATTAGTCATAGAACTAATTAACATGGGAATTTACTGAACTTCTGAAAAGTACAAGCATGAAATGATTAACAGGAAAAGCAGTCAGAAAAGAGAAGATACTTGCATGACAATGAAACTTAGCGACTATGTGCTTATACATGAAATAGAATTAAAAAAAAAAAACAAATGAGAAAATCACGAACAAAGAAAGCAGTGATTATTATCAATAGTTATCAGAAGGCAGGTCTACTCGAAGAAAGAAATAAAGGTATAAAACTAGCAATACTAAGACAAACATCAAGGGCAAGCATCAGCATTGCTCAAGGAACAGCTAATGACAAGTGTTTTCAGTTATATTGACAGTACCTGCTCCAGTTTCCCACAGCAGCACCTCCTCCAAGCCCAAGTCCTTCCCAAACCAACTGCAAGCATAAACACCAAAGAGTTAGCATGGAGCAGGTTATAATAATGAGTAGTTTTGAGAAACCTGCATTTTATACTGACATGCTGTCTACTGAACATATCGAAATACAAGTTAAGAATGAGTGTCAAGTAACATGGTAACATTTAAGTTGAAATTATGATACATCATATGGAGTGGAGAAATATTTAAGCATGTTTACTTCGTAGATTGAGAATGTCTTACAGACTGACTCATATGTGTATCCCTTTCCTTGGGAGCAGATCCTCACTAGTTAGGAATAAACTTATTTACTTCGCATATGAAGATTCACAGGTACTCAAAATAATTGCATCTGGTTCAATTAGTAACCGAAATCTTCTTCAAGACCTGGACATAACTATTATTCAACTAGGTCATATTTTGCTATTTCAAATACCTTCCACAAACATCACCGATCAATTATGTGTCTTGTCCATTCATTTTCACATGCCAAAGCATTTGAAGAAAAAGAATCATATGGACCTTGACCAATTCACATTAAATCATATTTGGACTATCAAATAAAACTTTAACAGATATATGTATGTTAAATTGACATGCAAACATGGAATGCAACAAATTAATGAAGGCCAAAGAAGAATTATAGTGAGTAACACTCAGGACATGCAGATTACTTAAGGTTGGAGTTGTAAACTAAAGGCAATAAATATCCACTTAACTTGAGCCATGATTTGAGCAGCATCCTGCCTCTTCCAGTACTCTTCTGTACTTCCTGTATCAGGTAAAAGAGACCGACCAAACATGAATTACAGGTCTCAATTGCTCACCACGAAAATATAATCGTAATGTAGGGACGAGGATCAAAGGGAAGTCAAGCTGCAGAAACATACCAATCTCCAAAAACATAGTCGGCCTACTAGTAACCGGTCCATGATGAGTACCCTCCAAAGTAACCTATATCAAATTAAACAGACCACCAAAGAGATATTATCTTTCTATACTATTTTAGACATTAGAGGAAACCCAATATCATAATTCTCAAAAAACGGATTTCTTTGTATCTATCAAAATGCTACGTATTAACGTCTATAGTGGCATATGATTTCAAAAGATTGTATAGCAGAGGCAAGTCAATAAAAAATTAAAAACTAAAATTTAAACGTGCCTCAAACTCAGGAATCATATCTCGAGACGCAGCCATTTCCTTTAATAGCCGAAGCCAAGGCCCCATCCTCGGATCCGGGGGTGCCGCCCATCCTGGCCTCCCTCCTTGGGGTGGCACATCGCCTTCTCGTAAATGAGGAACTCCTGCATTATATTTATACCAAAGTACGGAAATAATTCCATTAAAAATTAAGCACGCAAAAACCAAAAAATTATTAAAACAAGAACACATTGTATGAAGTGTAAACTATAGTTCACAACTGAATTGAAAGAAAAATTAGGAAGTAAAGTGAGTACCAATTGGATGAACAGTGAGAGCAGGTCGATTAGAAACAGCAGTGTGCTTGCTGAAGAAGATGACTTCTTCCACGGCCTCGTTTGTGGCTTCCTCCCACCGCTCGTCGAGATCGTCCTCTTCCACGATACTCTTATCGTGTTGCAATAATCTCACTTGCTGGTTCGCGAAGCTCCTTATATCCTGTTAAACCCATATAACCAAAACCAGATTAATCACAAATTAGGATGATGGAGAATGTGAGTTCTGGAAATGGAGATGTAAGGTGACCTGAAGCAGAGTGGGACCAGGTTGCCAGCCGGGCATGGAAAGGAGCTCGGTTGCCGGGTTGATTGAGGCTGGATCGTTGGTTGTGGACACGATTAGCGTCACCATTTTTAACTTTCTTTGACAATTTATGTATCTTTCAGTAGTTAATTTTCGCGTTGCTTGCAGAATTTTGAACTTTCGCCGTGAGATAATAGGAGAGAGGCGCCAACTGTTTCAGTGGGTTCCCCTGGTTTTTGACTCTTTATTTCCTGTATTGTACTACATGCGTGAACAAGTTTGCCTGGCTAGGAAAAAAAAAAACCAAAACGAGAACACTGGAAGAAATGATGCTGCCCAGGATCGAACTGGGGACCTTTAGTGTGTAAGACTAACGTGATAACCACTACACCACAGCATCATTGTGTTAGCTTCGTAACACAAATTATAAAAAGCTGTTAAAAACCTGAATCATCACCCAGTAAAATAACAATGTGAAGAGAGGAGACCTAGCGGTAAAATTAAAGGGATGTTGAATTCCTCGGCATTCCGAGTTTCTTTGCTTATGGCTTCTCAGCACAAGTTTCGCATCCATGAAGGTTTATTTCCAGCAGCCTTAGCTGTTTACTCTGCGTTTTTCACTTTAGTTTTGTTAAATACACTTTTCTTCTTTGACGATAAACAGTTGCAGATACGACGCTGCAGAAAATCGCAGTGAAAAGAGCAAGGACAATGAGCACGGACTCCTCCATCAAAGACCATTTTTCCATATACGTGGACTACCTTAATCAGCTTGTAATTCTTCACTCTTCTCCTTTTTCCTCCATTTTCTTTTTCTGTTTCTCATTTTCTATCAAAAATTCGAATTTGTATATCTTTTGTGATTATTCGTATATTTAATTATGAGTTTGCTGACACTAAATTCGTTCTTGTGTATTATTCATGGTTACGTACTCGTGTGTGTATAGGAGCGTTTTGGTTGGCTAAGAAGAATAATTGGATTGTCTTTTGTGTATCAGGATTTTACATCATGTTCGGAACAAATCTGAACTTCATGCAAAGAAAATATGAAATTCATTTGTAAATTCAAAATTTTCAGTAAAAATTATTCCAAATGAAGACAGTCTGGATATGAATTTTAACTTTATTGGAGTAATACCTTGCAAATTCTATTATGTTTGATGAACTTTATAAATTAAGGGGAAAAAATTGATGTCTTTTGCACTGTTGCAAGTTAATGCTGTATTTCAAATATAAGGATTCGATAGCAAATGAGTTCATTCTTCAATTCATTTGCCAAAGAATGAAATTTCAAAGTTAATTGTTTCAAAGATTTTACTTAGACGGAAATAGTACTTGAACTCAAGTCATCAGCATTAGCTCCACTGAGAAAGTGTCATGCTATCTGAATTATATTTTCTTTGTTTTCTTAAAAAATTGGAAATGTAGGATTTTTATTATTTTTGGAAATAATTTTTGGGGGAGACCTTGATATTTAAGGGTATATATGAATTGTTATGTACCTGAGTTCCCTTGCTGAGGTTAATGTACCTGATACTTTCAGCTGTAAGCTGATATTGCATTGCATAGGTTTGTCATGTTTGTTACATTCTGGGACATCCATTTAGATGCATTATTTTCTATTGATGACTGCACTAAGTCCCTAATTGGAGAATTATGTTGATTCATTTTATTGATTTGATGGACCCAGTAGGTTTCCATGTGAGCTATGTGGATTGTGAGCCTGTGAATATTTTGCTGAAGCTGGATATTGTTCATTAGTTCTAGAGTGCACATTTTCTATAATCTATCCATATGCTAAAAAGCACCTTGCATCATATTGTTTTACATCAATTTAATCTATTATGATTGCCCTGATTAAATTTCTGACTTTTGTATGCTTCTAGAATGAAAAACGGGAGAGAGTGGTAAAAGCAAGTCGTGATATCACCATTAACAGTAAAAAAGTCATATTTCAGGTGCACAG